AGTCACCTTCGTGGAATGCTGATGAACTGGAGTTTGGATCAGTTGTGGATGTGCACAGTAGGCAGCAGGAATTTCACTTCATTCCACCTGAATTGGTGTTAGTGACTGATTTTTTTTCCTCTTATACCTGTTCTTAATTTAATGAAAGATCATAGTTCAGGTATCATTCTCATGAGAGTCAGCAGGGTAGTGATCAAGAGGATTGTCTTTGGAACCCAACTACTTGGCATAAAATTCTGACTTTGCTATTACTAGCTCAGTTACCTTGGGTAAGTTACTTAAACTCTCTTTTCCTCAGTTTCCTCATCTGTAAAATGGGGATAATAATAGTACCAAGCTCATGGTGGTATTGTAAGGACGAAATAAACTTAATCAAAATGAAACCATAAGAATTCTAGAAGAAAATGTGGGAAAAACTCTTCTAGATATTGGCCTAGGCGAAGAATTCATGAAGCAAAGGAAATTACAGCAACAATGAAAATAAATAAATGGGACTTGAGTAAATTAAAAAGCTTCTGTACAACCCAGGAAACAATTAAGAGAGCAAATAGACATCCTACAGAATGGGAGAAAATATTTGCAAGCTATACCCCCAATAAAGGACTAATAACCAGAATCGACAAAGAACTCAAGCAAATCACCAAGAAAAAAATCAAAATATCCCATTAGGAAGTGGGCAAAAGACATGAAGAGAAGCTTTTCAAAAGAAGATAGACAAATGGCTAATAAACATATGAAAAAATGCTCAACATCACTAATCATCAGGCAAATGCAAGTTAAAACTACAATGAGTCATCACCTCACTCCAGTCAGAATGGTCTTTATTAAAAAGTCCAAAAACAATAGATGCTGGCATGGATGCAGAGAGACAGGAATGCTCATACACTGTCAGTGGGACTGCACATTAGTACAACCTCTATGGAAACCAGCATGGAGATTCCTCAAAGAACTGAAAGGTGACCTACCATTTTATCCAGTAATCCCACTATTGGGTGTTTACCCAAAGGAAAAGAAGTCATTTTATCAAAAAGACACCTGTACTCGAATGTTTATAGCAGCACAATTCATAATTACAAAGATGTGGAATCAACCCAAGTGCCTACCAATTCATGAATGAATTAACAAAATGTAGTTTATGTATACCATGGAATACTACACAGCCATAAAAAAGATGAATTAACACCTTTTGTAGCAGTTCAGATGGAACTGGAGACCACTATGCTAAGTGAAGTATCACAAGAATGGAAAAACAAACACCACATGCTCTCATTACTAGGTTGGAACTAACCGATGAGCACACATGTGAATAGAGGGAAGTAAAACTCAACGGAAATCAACCAGGGGGAGTGGGGAGGAGGGGATGGGCGAAAACCTACCTAACAGGTACAATGAACAATATTTGGGTAATTGGCACTCTTATAACCATGACTCAAGCATTATAAAAGTGATTCATGTAACCAAAATTATTTGTACCCTGTAATACATTGAAATAAAAAAAAGATTTTAAATGTGGTGGAACATTGTAAATAAAATATTAGCTACTATTTTTAATTACAAAGCAGAAAATCTAGTGCTGATCCTTTATGGTAGATACTTTTAATAATAATTATAATAAAAACGATGATTAACATTTATAAAGAGTTTAAACCTTCTGGGTTATCTCTTATGTGTCCTCGTTGACATTTAATTTTCCTCTAATACTCAAAACTGCCGTATGATGTAGGTACTCTAATAATCCTAATTTTGCAATATTAGAGAAAAAATTTATTAGACACTTAGTATATGCCAAGTGGTGTTCTAAAACTGAGAATTACAGGAAGAAACAGAAAGGCCTTGACTGCATGGAGCTTATATTTGACATCCTACATTGGTTACACCAAACAAAGAAGAACTCGTGAGAAGGTAAGGTGGTTAGCGCTAAGAAGAAAAATAAAGCCAGGTGAGGGGATAGAGAGTAATACGGTGGTAGGTGCTGTTTGAGGTAGGTTGGTTAGGAAAACCCACTCTACAAGTGGCTTTCGGGGAAGGGCCTTGAGGATGTCAGGGGGAATCAATGTTCAGGAATTGGGAAGAGCCAGTGCAAAGCTCTGGGGTACAGAGGATGTAGAGAGTGCACCCGGGCAAACACCAGTGTGGCTGGAGCAGAGTGAATAAGGAAAGAGTAGAAGGAGGTAACAATGGGCAGGATAAAGAAGTTAGATAACCACAGATACTGGGGGAGGGTGTCCTCAATTCCTTTTAGGGATTTCTTTATCTTCTTTCTATCATAAATAAATTAAACTTGTGGCCTTTTAAAGAGGGTGCACGTTATAAATCCTTATATCACACACTTAGTGGTGACTGTATCTGTGGCTTTGTACCCGGTAACAACGAGCTGTGACATTGCTATTGATTTGCAGGGAGGTTAACATTGCTTTTGATGATGAGCTTAGCTCCCTCTCTGACTCCAGCCCTCATCGAAGGCTGTTTTGACAGGGAAGGAAGAGAAGGAAAAATATAGCTTACCCACCAACCCCAAGGGGACTTACTTTCTTCTTGCAGTTTGATATCATGTTTAATGAAAATATGTATGCTGAGGACAAAATGCTCAAAGCAAAAAGAAAAATGTTCATAATAAACCCTATTCTTGCCAACAGCTCTTATCAACTGCAGTGGTTTATTTCCTGTTGGCGTTATTACCTTAGTAACTGTGTAGCTGTGTCAGCCGCCTCTGTTGCTTGTTTTTTGGAAAGAGGAAAGATACATTATGGATGAGTATTGTTTTCATTTTAGTCTTGGGGATGGAAGCCACATGGAGGAAACTGGCAAACGCTGCCACCTTGCTGCTTATGGGGCGGCAAAAATGCGTAGAGGTTTTCTCGTAACGCCATTCAGATTTGGCAGATTTGGTAAGCCCTTTTCTCCAAGATACACCCAAGGGTTCGTGTTGAGCTGTAGCAGTATCCATTTTAGACCCGTGGCTTCTAAAAAATAGTTCCATAGATATAGGCATTTTAGAAAAAGTCAACATGTTTGGGAAACTCTGAGTTAAATAAGATTTCTTTCTTGTAGGTTTCTCAGAACCTTTAGGAGAATAAAGATGTTGATCGTAAATCCACCAAGAAAGACTAACAGGTGGCTCGTTTCTTAAATATACTTGGCCATAGAAACTGTTTTCAAGATTAAGGCTTGAATGTAATACACTTTGGAATAGGTGTCTATATAAATGCTGTAGGTGGTCAGCTCTCTAGAACTGTATCAGGGAGAGAAATCTGCAGCCCAAACCAATCCCCCACCATCCAAGGCTACTCAGACCTGAGTCCTCAGAATTACTTTAATTTATACACTTTGTAACTTCCTGCCAGGAGAGAACACACTTGGCTTTTAGGTAAATCACTGACTTGGCCTTTGAACCATGCTCAAGTATTACAAAATAGAGGATTGATGGATTAGGATTTCTGTCCCAAATAGTGAATATTTATAGCTTACAAATATATTTTATACATCTCCAGATATCATCCAACTTATGGTACCTGGGTAATAGGAATGAAGTTCAGATCTTCAAGGGGGCAAAATTGGGGGATATTTTTGAACCCATTTTTATCAGAGTCCGAGGACTGCTGAGAATGTTGAAATGGAGATTGCAGAATTCTCTGTTATTCTCCAAAGGACACTGTAATTTGAGGTGAAGCCAATGCACACTTACTGTGTCAGCAGACCAGATGATGACTCTTGTTCCTGGTTATGGCCTCCATAGAGAATTCCAAGACCCAGCCATTACTGGACCTTCTGTGTTTGACGATACTGATCTGAACCTGCTTTGGTGGGGTTTTTGAGGATCAGATTTGCCCCGGCAAAACCCTGGGCAAAGAAGTAAGATTTCAGAGTTTCTTGGGACTTGGCCTATTCAGAATCTTGTAAGGGAAACAGTTTATTTGTTTATTTTTTTTATATCTCACTCTGTCTGAGAAAGATTTTTTAGTCTTACCTAATAACTCACAGTTTACTTCAGAATCTGTGGATGAGTAAGACACGATTTAAAATAATTTGAATGGAGAAAGTAAGATCAACAAAAAGCAAATGTAAAAAGAATAACAAAAAATTAGAAGCAAGGTTGTTTGTGTTACAGTTAATAGCTGGTAATTCCTGGGAATACATATTTTAGTCCACTGGTTAAATACATTACTAATATGAATACTAATGCATGAGTTAGGTGAAGTTGTTAGCTGACAGTACTAAATGAAAATTTTAATTTTGCAAGTCAGGACAAATGCAGATTCCCTTATAAACAGTAAAGAATCAGCCAGAAAAGTAAATTGAAACAAAGTATGGAAAGTTCCCAGTCTGCAGAATTCATAAAATTGTATACTTCACATACTCAGCTTATATTATTTAAAAAGTTTTAAACATTGCCCAACGATGAAGACACTACCTGAAGAATAATTTTATTGAAAAACATACCTCAATTATCTTATTTATGGTTGTGTTTCATAACTATAGAAAATTTTCATTTTGTGTGAGGGGTATTTTAAAAACTCTAATGCCTTTTCAAATATTGCATGTATAGGATTCCTTGAAGAGGATCAAAGAAATCTTTCAGATGACGTCATGCATCATTGACATAGTATATTATACGCCCAATGATAATAAATATTTGAATTTTGAATAAATGATTAGTGATAGATCACAGTCTTCATTTGTGTTATCTTTTAACAAATTTCTAATTTCAAACCATTCTCTTTAGGTCTTGTTTATCAACAAATGACAGGGATAATTGACAAATTATATAATTCCATTTACTTTCATTCATGATATTCTTATCTTGATTTTTTTTGCCTATTCCAATTCAGTGCTCTATGGCATAGTTGAGCTCAGATTAATCTCTCCTTGATCCTTCTCTCTCTCCCCAACATACTCATCAATTATTCTGTTTCTTACCTTGTAATATCACTTTGAAAGTGCTAACAGAAAATTAAATTAGTAAGACATCTCGTAAATAGTCACAACATAAGAAGTCTCACCTCTCTCTAGAGCATGCCCAAGGGCTGCAGCAAGCAGGAAAACCAGGACTCTCTTCATGTTTCTACCAGGGAAGGTTCCTGCGGCACCTGCCACCTCCTGTAGTTACCATGTAAGAGATGATAGTCTAAAGTAGCCAGTTCCCTTTTACTAAGATTCCTGCCTATGAACTAATCAATTATTAATCTCTACACAGAAGCAAGGGGCAGTCATCCTTGGCCCAAAAGAGATCAAATAATATCATCAATCAAGGCAAATAGACACCCTGGAGATACTGTAGTGGAAATTCTAGGAGATTTTAATCATTAACTTTGTCAAACTGAAAAAGAGCCAAAGCATATAGAGTATTTTCCACTGCTGTTCTCCACTAAAATTTATTTAGTGTATTTGTAATGGACACATTTGTCTTCTCTTTATAGGGCTGTGTGTCTTCTTGGGACCTTCCCTACCTTTCTCATGTATAAATGGAAAATTGGAGACATGATATCTGTCCTCCCCCCGCCCCCCTTTGTTTAAATCTGCTACCAATAAGCGTTACCTTAAAATATTGCCGACTAGATGTTCCAAGTAATAAGGGGAAAAAAAGACTGAGAAGTCAATTCAGCACAATTCCTCAAATCCATAATTTCAATGCTATAAGACAATTTTATTTGAGATGATGGAAGATTCCTTTCTATTAATATGCCATATTATACTTTTGAAGCACTGACATATATATTAAAAATAACCTTTGAAGTGAGGCAAATAATAACTGGGTGGGTTAAATGACTTGTCACCAATCATAAAAAGTTAGTGGTAAATCTGGGACTCCCTACGTTTAGTTTAAAAGCTCCTTTTACTAATAGTACATAACTGGTATATTTTACGATAACGTAACTTGAGAGCTCACAGTGGCCTCGTAGGACATGGAATTCAGCATCTTCATTTTACAGAACAGAGAACTGAACACCAGGCAGATTCTGTGACTTGTCTAGAGAGGTATGGGGAGTGATCGTTCCTTGAAACTAGATCAGCTCCACTCCTGGTTTTTGCAGTAGCCGTCTTTTCAGGAAATGGTCAAGTATGGATTGAGGATACAGGCTCTAGAATCAAATCCCTACTTAGCTGTTACTGCTGCTGTGCAACCATGGGAAACTTACTTTGCCTCTCTCAGCCCCCTTTTCCTCATATGCGATGTGGTGATAACTCTTGGTACCTTTATCTCAAGATAGTTGTGAGGTTAGTTAAGATAATCCATGTACAGGGCTTACTGCAACATCCAACACGTGGCAACATGCATGCATGTTACCTATTATTCTAGTTATTGCCACTTTACCCCAGTGGCTCTCTAAATGGATAATCTCTGAGAAAATCATTGGAACTAATGGGGCCTTGAACTCAGAAGATTTTAAAGCCCACCCTGTGTCCTGGGTCTCATAAACAAGTCATTTAAAATTTAATTATCGACTCAATAGCCAGGGATTAACCGCAGGGGCAGACTCCATCACAATCTCAATCAACTGCGTGAAGCACTCACACCTTTAGTCAGATTCTCTAGCTATCCTGAAAATACTTGCATGTTAGTTTCAGAAAATAGAGTCTAGCCAGTTGGAAAAAGATAACTAAGCACGATCAAAGTGGAAATCCACATGGTAAAAGAGATCAGCAGATCCTAAAAATCTGCTCAAGACAGTGGGGGAAGATAGCTTTTCCATGCAAGGGCCAACTCTGTCCTGCCCAAGCATAAGCTTACTGTCTACTACAATCTTCTAAGGTTTCTCTTTTCCCTTTGGATCAACTTCTAGTTCACTTTGCAAGTTAATTAAATGAGTGTGAAAAGTTTAAAAAGTACCAAGAACCCCAGAACTAAGAGAGAATAACAGTTAACACGTTAGTATATTTCTATAGTTTTCATTTTGGTTTAAGACAATACCGTATTTATACTTTTGTATCCTTTGAACAGTATTTTAAGTAATCATCCTCTGATGATTCGTTCATTCAAAGATACACTTTTGCACTATTTCCCACCAATTTGCTACAGCATTTAAGACCATCCCATTGTTTCATTTTCTAAAAAACTTATAACTTTATCTCTGCTTTTGCAATAACATCTACCACTTTCGTTTAATGATAAACCACATGTAGCAAGAATTGCAACATTTAGATGTCCTCTTAAGAAATCTCTACACAGGCTGCCAAATACATTCTCTTGGCTGTATTTGTCTTTTTCTAACTGAAAATTGACACTAACATGCTAGTAGCTAAATATATGAGCTTTTTTTTTACTCTTATTTATGTAATTGCCCTTAGTCTTTCAAGGGTTGATTGCTTACTGTTATTCTAAAACTGGGAAGAAGTAATCATAATTGGCCTAAATGAGTAGCCTCATGTGACAATGATTAGTAAGTCAGATGGGAAAAAATGGTTGAAAAAGGCCAAATCAAACCTTCTGACAGTGTCTGTTACAGCAGTAGTTATAGCAAAAATAATTCTCATTAAATTATATATTTTTGTGATAAATTTCTGAGTTGCTATAACTGCTGCTATGACAGACACTGTCAGAAGGTTTGATTTGGTCTCTGTGAGTGGATTAATAAAATGTGGCATATCTATACCACGGAGCACTACTCAGCCATAAAAAAATGGTGATCTAGTTTCTTTTCTAACAACCTGGATGGAACTGGAGAACATTCTTCTTAGCGAAGTATTGCAAGAATGGAGAAACAAACGCCACATATACTCAATACTAAATTGGAACTAATTGATCAACACTTCTGTGCAAATACAGAAGTAAAACTCAAGGGAAATCAAGGTGGGAGGGAGGGAGGAGGGAATGGGTAGGTTCACACCTAAGGGGTGCAATGCACACCAACTGGGTGAAGGGCACGCTTACAATATTGACTCAAACTGTACAGAAGCAAATTATGTAACCAAAATGTGTGTGCCCCTGTAAAATTCTTTAAAAAAAAAACAAAACTGATTTGAAGTAGTCTCTTTCCTCTTTCCCCATCTTACCATTGGTCTCATAGGGAATGTAGATTTTTCCCTAATCAGGGCTAATAAAAACAAAGCCCATCTTTAGTTCTTTTCTCTATCACATTTTTCTTCTTTTAGTAACTCTTAGCTCTTATGTGCTCTTTACCAGAGTGGTACTTTTTAACATTTTAATGCTGCTACAGGCTACTTGAAAACTCTTACAGAACTCCGGCAGAAATGACCTCCCTCAGCATGATTTCATTTGCCATAGTGTTCGCCTCATCCAGATTCTCTTTATGCTCTTAAAATGCATTATCAGTGTCTTTCCCTGACAAAAGACCTGATGGATGCTAGTGGCTTAAAGTAATACCTTTAATTTTTTAAATTTTTAATTATTATGGGTACATAATCATTGTCTATCTTTATAGGATACCTTAATGTTGATGTATGGAGAGGGACAGGGCATGATCCAAATTTCAGGATATTCTTGTAGCCTGGCCGGTTTCCTATTCTTGACTTCCATGAGAAATTCCAATATCCTTATAATAAGTCTCTCTTTTTACTTAAGGCTTTTCAAGCTGAGTTTCCGTCACTTGCAATTAAAAGCATTCTAACTAACTTACCTTTAAATAATTCTCTCCTTTGTTGCTGTCATTATTTATCTAAAACGTGAGTAAGACCATGTTACTGTCTTTCTATTTAAAACCCTTTAGGTCAAACCCTGTGGATGAAGTTTGTGAATTGATCCTACCTATCTCTGAAAGGGACTCTTTCTGCCTCGTAAGTATATTAAAATTAGATGCAGTTAAACTGCTTGTGGTTCACTGAACACGTTGTGCTACAGGGTCTTCCATAGTCTTTGTTCATGCTCTTTTCCTTTTTCCCTTACTTTATTTTATAGGTTTGTCTTATCTTTCAATAGAAGAAGGCTTTCATTTATTCCTTTAACATACATTTGATTCGTGCCACTTTGCACCAAGCTATTGGCACTACAATGGCAGAAAGACTACTTGGCCCTTCCCCTCATGGAACGTCTAATCCAGCTGGGAAGACAAAATGGTAAGTGTGCTAAATTGCGAGTGTTCAGGGGATGGCAAGGATAAAGGTAGATGCAGAGAAGCCAGTTCGAAGACTGCTTTAGAAGTCTAAGCAAGGGGAGACAGGGGCATGGCCTGTGGTGCTGGCAGGGGGGTGACTGTTCAGGAGACAGAATCATCAGGGGTGGTAA